ATTAAGAAACAAACCTGAATAAGAGTAGTTGTTCGAGTGTTTCAAATCTTGCCACTGCTCCTATCCTAAGATTCAATTAGAGCAATCGTGTGTTCTTCACATCGTTCATATAAATTGGTAGATTTTATGTTTCTATTTTATGGTAGAAGCAAATCAAAGGACTGGAAGCATTCACAATAAACTATTCTTGTGAAGACCTGCCTCTATGAAAAGTATCAAGTCAAAATTCGAAAATCAACTTTTTTTGATGTTTCTTAGGAGGCCACAGTATTTATTAAAACAATATCTTAGAAGTGAAGTATCTCCGTAATAATAAACTGGAATCAGATGTTCTTTCTAGAGTATTCATAGTTCATTTGGGTCTGCATGAAGGACGTAGCCTCAACTGAAAAACAATTTATCAATTTGAGGACTTACCTAGTAAACTTGAGAAACACTTTCAAAAAAATTATTCTGTTTTAGAGGAAAGTAGATTTAAAACTTTTTTCAAGAGTCGAATTCAATTAAAGATAAATGTCAGCATGTTTGATCAAGTGCACGTTTTTGACACAAGATGCGTATTTTGTCTGAACTGTACCAACTTTATACAGTGCCAAATGTGAGTTGAAAAAAAGAAGTACTAACTGTATGTTATGTCAAAGGCATAAAAATGATTCGCACTTTTTCTTTCTATCTTTAACTTTTGAATGAGGTTCTCATTAAGATTCTTGACCCTCCTCTAGACGCACAGATTTTTTGGTGTCTATGAATATGGTATAATTTTCCATATAGAATCTGCATTGTTTTTTGATCAATACAAATTCTATGACGAAATCATTTCACATCTTATTATCATAAGTAAAAATAATGGATTTCGGGTTGAATGATTTTGATAAATTTTTCATTGTTTTATCAAGGTAAAATAGTTTCATTTCTTATCATATAAATCATATAAAAAAACAAGTATTTAAACTATAACAATAATAAATAAAAGTGTATATACAAATCTAAAATAATAAATCGTTGACTAATTGAGTTTGCAAAAACTAAAATAAATTCTGTTGAATTCGTTCATCCACTTTTGTATGTCTTGGTTTGAATATACGTTGATAAGGATTACCATTAACGCTATTCTTATAAAAAACAGTCCATCTCGATGATTTGTGACGACGTCGTTTAGCAAGTCTGATTTTTTGTTTTTCTTCTATTTTTAATATTTTTTCGACTTTTTTCAATTCTCTTTCAAATAATATTTCTTGCTTTTTTATTTGTTTTTCTTGTCTTTTTCGTTCATTTTCTATCTTTTTTTGTTCATATTCCAATTTCTTTCGTTCTTTTTCTAAAAGTTTCTTCTCTGCTTCCTTTTTCTTTGCTTCATTATGACGTTGCCATTCAGGTACATACGGACCAATTTCACCGGATTTTAATTTGTCACGGTATCGAGTTACATATTCGCCTCTAAACATTAAATAAAAGTTATTTTTCTATAAAAAAATCGATAAGTATCGCAGGTGATACAACTTGGATTAAATCATTTAAAATTTAAAAAAGTTAATCTAAATCTAACTGTTTGGACTGTAGTTTGTAATTTTTGAGTATTATGAGAAAAACATGAAGTACAACTATGTTTTATTTATAGCAATGCATTTCGGTAATACTAGAAAAAGATCGGATGGGTCTTAGAATGGTGTCAGAATTTGAGATTGAAATACAACAGCAATGTTCAGATTTCTGAAAAAAAGAATTTTCTTTCATTAATCATCAAATTTCAGAAACTCATAAAACAATACTGAAATATATCGAGACATGAAAAGTGAATTTCCAAGGAACTTCGGTAATCAGTCATATGACACGTAGAACTTTCTATGTGATTTAGAGAATTGCTAAAGCACTAGACGATCACTTTCCAGTCATTTCGCCATTTAGAATCCTTCGATCAGCAATTTTCTATTGAGTTTCAAAAATTAGAAATATCTGCAACAAAAGTCCTGGAAAGCTATCAGAAAATGATGGAAAAAACCAAGAATCAAGCAACGAATATCAAGGACATAACTGTAATTACTACCTTATCCAAATAAATTTCTCAACCAGTTTTTGAAGAAAATAAAACATGAAAAGAAATTTCAAGCCGATTTATGAAGAATTTCCAGTAGGTACCAAAAGATTATAGATATGTCCATAATTTCTTTGCCTTTAATGTATATGGATTCAGTCAATCTTGAGAAAGAAGAACCCTATCTCATCGGCAGTAATAATTTTCGATTTCAGTAATCAATATGAAATTTCTAAAAACTCTTATAGTTTTAGAAGTTCAGTTTTTTATTTCCATAGATTTACACTTAGGATGGTTTTATCGTCAATGAATACCCATTATGAAATGTTTCTTTATATAAAAACTTACATTGCCTTCTGAGAAGATACTTTTTTCTTGATTTGACTACTTCCATCTTTACGAAGAACTGTACGAGCTGAATTGAGAAAATCATTTCGAATCTTGATCAAGAGAAAAAAAAGTGATCGATGAAATATTTTTGAAAGAAAACATACATTAATCATGAGAAGTCTTTGAAGAAAAAGTTGATTATCTTCCAAATTTTTTCGACGAATATTTTCTACATTACGTTCATCACGTTTAGGAGACGACATAACCTATTAAAAATTAATAAATAACTATTCAATTAGGAAAATATTACTCCATTACTTAAATCATATGTAAAGTTTAAAATACGATAGTGGAACAGAGATGAATCTGAAAGATAAATATAGTTGATAATGTGAATTATTTGAATAAGTTGTATCAATACAAAAAAAAAACAAATACATGCACGAAATGAAAATACAAATATTAACTATTTTATTTTGAAGATTCAATCATTTCTCGTTAAATACGTTCATCTAGCATTTGTAAGATGTAATTGAAATATATGTTGATACAGATTAGCATTATCGTTATACAACAAAGTCCATTTTGACAGAGGAGGATGGTTTTTCGTTTTTTTTTTAATTTTAACCCGTTTTTTTTCTTAATTCTTGTTCTTGTAATTGTTCTTATTTTTTCATTTCTTTCTTCTGTTTTTCTTGTTCTTTTTTCAATATTTTATTGTGAATTTGTGGTTGTCGTTTAGATATATGAGGACAAATTTTCACCAGATTTTACTTTCAACTTATATCGAGTTGAATATTTAATTCTAGAAAAACAAATTGACAAAATGATTCATTGTTTTGTTGCATTTAAATGAAAATTTACTTTTTATGTTTAATAGGTATTTTAGTATTTTTCTGTTTATGAAGAATTGAACGAGCATGATGAAGAAAATAATTTCGAATTTTAATTTAAAACAAAAATCAAGAATTGGTAGATTTATGAAGTTAAATTTACATTATTTATGCAAAGTATTTTAAGAAAAAGTTGAATATCTTCGGCATGTCTTGTACGAACTAAATTAGATATCAACAAACAAGATATTAATTATCAAGATTAAAGTTGTAAGCTGATCGACTGAGCTGTTATCGTCAACAATATTCTAATAATCTAGCACAAAGATGAAAGCAGTACTGATGTCTTTTTTTTATTTTTTGCTCTTAGTATTTCATAGAGAATTTGTAATGAAACTTTGTTGAAAGCTAATACTAAAAAACAAATAAATAGGTCTGGAGCATCTCTGAGCAGTTTGACTTATTCAAGTATTTTGACTTTATTAGCTTCATTTATTGATAAAAATAGGAAAGTTTTGTTAACGAAATGAGCAACAAAAGAAGTTTTACAAAATCTAACATATCAAAACAAATACTATCCGGTGCCTGCGTTCTTTTTTTGGTTGTCTACTGATGAAAGTCCTCGCAAAAAAAAGGACAGTACAATAAAAAGACAACATATTGTTCACTATTACATGTACTACTAACTGTGAAAGCAGAGCCAAAAGGTTTTTCTGATCAGATTCGGGACCAAAAACGATTGGTCCCACTCATCATTAGATGTTACTTAACTTGTTAATAGTAAATAGAAAAATGAGAATTCTTCTCTATTATTAAGAAAAAAAGCTCAATTCATTCGTTCAAAGTACAATGGCAATATGTCATGCTTTTTTCTGGAACATTCGGTAGAGTTTTTTAAATTTTTTGGCAACTACGATAGTTTTACAAAGATGGTCCTGTTAAGTTTCTTCGCAGTACATTTCCCTATAACTATATATTTTTGTTTGAAAGGCTTGTTAAGAAAATCTTCGAAACGCAAAAGAATAAGTAAAACATCATCAGTCACCACTAATCTAGGCATCGGCTCTCACATTTTATCAAGTTAGTAATTGATTAACTTTTATCATCGTCAAGTGTAAGATTATACTTATATATTAATCTGAAAGACAAATATTTCAAGTCTATATAATCAAGATATACACAAATCTAAGATCTAATTATATGTTCAAGAAAATTATTTTCGAATTCGTGGTTTAAATGTACGTTTATAAGGATTAGCCATATTCTTATAAAATAAAGTCCATTTTGAAGGATGACGTGTTTTTTTCTTATTAATTTTTTGTTGCCGTTGAGGAATCAATGGTTGAATTTCACCTGATTGAACTTTTAAATTATATCGAGTTAAACGTTCGACTCTAAAAACAAAAAAAAACAATCAAATTAAAATGAAACTAATCTATATTTATTCTCTCTCATTTACTTTTCATAATGAATTTTATGCTTTGTTTTATTTTCACCTTTGGGAACAGCTGTACGAGCTGATTGAAGAAAATCATCTCGAATCTTAATTATAAAGAAAAAATAATCATTGGTAAAAGATTGATTAAGATATATTTACAGTATTCATTCGAAGTTTATTAAGAAAACGTTGATTTTCTTCAAGATTTTTTCGACGAATTTCTTCAACATTTCGCTGAGAAAATAAAAATTAATAAACAATATTAACAATAGAATAAAAAGTACTTTAGCCATTTTTTTTAAATCTACAATATATAAATCAAATGTTCATATTTATTTAAACAAAACAAAAATAATCTAAAAAAAAATTAATCTTCTTCTTCTTCTTCTGATGATGATGAAATAGCAACATTCATTTTTTTAGATACATAAGATTTATGAGAATTAGTTTCAGAAACGACGTTTGATGCTTGTAATCCAACATTTGGCAAAAATATTTTCACATTTTCAGAAACTGTCTTAGCAGTCTTACGAATAGGTCGTATTTTTTTCGTAATAGTTATTTTTTCTGCATGTAATGGTTGCCAATCTGTATCGATTGTTTTTGTAAAAGCAGAACTTAAATCATCTTCTTCATCATTTGATGTTTCATCAGTTAATACAATAAAATCATCATCATCAATTATTGATTGATTATTGTAATTGATTCGAGACATTGATTGAATTCGAGAACTTCGACGTATTTCGGATCTGAAGATAAAAGGAAAATTATTTCAATAACGAATTTTATTTTTGTCTAATAGCGAATGGCCCATCAATTTTCTGGTTGTCATAGATTTGAACTGAATTTATTTTTAAAGGATTTAACACTTGATTAAAGGTAAAATCATTATTGTAGTAATATTGCGAACATGTTATACCAACAATCTTCAAACACAAAATACAGTTCTCATGTATGTATATTGGACTATGTAAATTAATTGTACTATCCGTTTTGTGAAGTTTCATAAGGTCTATCTTATTACGATATTCAAGAATTTTCATAACGATACTTTATTGCATAACATAAGGGCTGAATAACAAGTAATAACTATGGTATGTAATAAGATTTTGGTAAAAAAAATTCTTGAATATAAGAATAAAATAGAGTTTTTGAAGCTCTACAAAGTGCATAGTACATAGTTCGACGAGAGAACATGTGAATACAAGAGAACTATATTGTGTGGTTGATCGTAGTGTTACTATAATAATTTTTTTTATTATTATCTCTGTGATATCCATTCGTATATAAGTTGGTAGATAATTAAACAATGAAAACTAGAGAAGATATTGAGCAAATCAGAACATCCTCATTTTTTATGAGTCATTCATTAGTTTTAAAAAACGATCAATCATTTTTTGGCAAATATTACCATGGAAACAAAGAAACTTAGGATTGATTCTCATGCTACTGTCTTGATATTGTTTTCAAAAGTGAACATAAAGGGTTTTGTTTTATTGTTAAGGCAATAGTATTAAATCATTCTAGCACTGTCTATGGAGAATAGATGATTGATCTTTCGTTTCTTTTTACCTTACGAAACATTAATACGATCACCGTAGAGCTGCCTACTCTTTAACTGACTGAAATTTATCATTACATATTACCAATACTAAATGTGAATTGTGGTGATAATGAACAGACAACATCAGTCAATCTGTTTCATTTTGAATCGATATGATAGAGCAGTTCAGACCATAGATGTCCAATGTGGCTGGATATCTGCCATTGCCGCGATGGTTTTCAAGAAACTATTCAAAAACCTCTTCCGTCCCTATGCTAACTTAGAACAATGAGATTGACTTTATGATATTCACCATGATTTTGACTGTTGAAGTTGTAGAGACTCAAATCGGATACAACTTTATACAATTTTACAATTTCTCTGAAAACGAAAGCTGCTGCAACAGTTTTTTGAAACACCATAGCTCAGCCTATATCTAATTACAAAACTAACGGTAAATTTGTAGGAATTTCGGACGAACATATATTAAAACTTTTGTTTGATCAGAGTTTCAATAGCACTTAATTACAGTACTATTATGAATCTAATTGAATTTCTCTTGGGTATAATAGTTGCTGAACAAGACTATTGCCATTTGACAATATTTAAAATTGAGCGAAAACTCACTCTTTGTTTATTACTTGTGGTAGAAGTACTTTGTTCTTCTTGTCAAAGCTCGTAAAAATATAGTACTCAGAAGCATAAACTAAGAGAATGCATCGATAGCTTCACTTGTTTGACATTCATCTACATGCATGTGACACTCGAACGAGCACTTTTCTCGTCAGAAAACTTTAAAAAAACCTTATTGATTTCACTTCATATCTGTTTAGGAGTAATTTTCTTCTCAACGAACGATTTTGAAAAGAACGTTTAAGTAATTCTTACTGATCGACAATTTCTTTTCGACTAGATTTTTTTCGTGGTGGTTTATTTGTTGTTGTTGCAGAGTTAACTGCTGTTTTTAAATCATCACGAACCTAAAGAAAAAATGAATTTGAAAATATTTGACTATTCAATTAAACTAAATAAATACATTAAATAGTTTAAGATTTTCAAGAAAATGTTGATTATCCATAACATTCTTTCGACGTTTTTCTTCAATAGTATCATTATCTTGATATAAAATATTTGTTTCACTCTAAATTTCAAACAAAGATTCTTAATTTTCAACAAAGAAACCGTTCTTACTTCACTAGACATTAGAAAAGAATATTCTCTGGTCGAACTTAAAAAGCGGCAAGAAATAAAGTCATATAAAGTTTTCTGTTACGATTTGTTAATGACGAAACCAATATTATATCAATAGAGGTCATTACTAACGTCGATATTTTTTATTTTTTTATACTTATTTATGGTTCGACATGAGGATAAGTCAATAGTATTTTAGAAGTCTTTCGACTTCATATAATTTGCGTTTAATTTAGTAAATGAAATTTAAAAAAGTATTTTATGGTTAGTATAATCCTGATTTATCAAAAACAGATATTGAAAAAGCTACACAAGATGGTAAAGTCTGTTTATATTTTTTTTTTCATATAAAATCTAGTAATAATATTTAATGTCGTAGCTTAAAGAAAACGGTTATATATTTGATGTGGCTTATACATCTGTGTTTAAATGAATAATAAAAACTCTTTCTAATATTCAATAAGACTTTGATTTTTACTGGTTTTTTGTTGATTATTATTAGCGTCTTAATCAATAATGACTTGTTTATTGTTTAAATAGAGTTTAAAAGACGTTTGTTTTCTAAATTTAAAGTCATGCTTATTATACTCCATCACACTGAAACTTAATGAATTTAGCCCACGAAATGGTCTCCAATTATAATATTATAAAAAAATTTCTTCCAAAACAAAATTTATATTAACGTGTATTTTCATTCATATGACTATTCTTATACTATCGATTCATGAAGATCAAAAATTATTTATTTTAATATGAGGATCAAATCAATATCTTGACAAAATATCTCAAGAAGAGATTGTTGAACTTGATTTATCAATAATAGGTTCGAAAAAATAAATCATAAATTCAATTGTACTGATATTGCACAAGATGATTTTGTTAAAAAACCAACTGAATAAGCTTTTAATTATGGGAACGAAGATAAATAAATATTTTATTGAATATTCAAATCAAATGATAGATGTGAAACTTTAATTGTCCGTTTTATTTTTGTATGATTGATATTTGTCAGATAGTTTGTTTAGTATATTTATACTTGACTACACTTCTGTTTTAATTCATTAAAAAATTTGTTTTGAAAATATAGACTTTTGATAATGGATTTTGATGAAAAGATTGAATAAATAAAATGACGGACTTCATACTTCAGTTAGAAATACTTAGCTGCTTAAAACCGACCTTATTTAATAATAATCTAAAGTATAACCTATTTTTTAAAAGCAAAGAATATAATATCGAATTAATAATGATTTGACATGAGTTATAAAATGTTCTTCTAGAATTTGATAGACAAAATCCTGCAATTCTCAGAACATAATGCGTCATTTTTTCCCAAAAATTTGCATTATCCGCATGATATGTAGTATAAACTTATTGATCAATAAACAGAAAATGACATATATTAGTTTATTTCATATTCAAAATTTCTTTTGACATGAATTTAATGTTAGTATTACCATTAAAAGTTCGTTAATTAGTACTATGAATATAATCTATAATCAATCAAGACAAAATCCTATATAACAAAAATTACCCTTTTGCTTAATATGAACAATTTTACTGATTGAGAGAACGATAGTCTAAAATATTTTGTAAATTTATTTTAGATCATAATGGATGAACAAATGACAGCTCTTCGAACACCTCAAATAGATGCAAATTATCTCGATGAAGATTTTCATTCATATAATTGGGATATATTTTCATCACTTTTTCGTTTTAATTATTCACATTTAACACATTCATTTAAACATGAATTTCAATTATTTCTTCGTTTATTAACATCATATAATACACTTCTTTCATCAAGTTATTCAACAACAATTGGTCAACAACTTTTACAAATTAAATATTCATCAGTACCATTAACACGTTATCAAAAATTTCTTTATTTATCATCATTTGTTTTTTCTTATCTTTATGAAAAATTTTTAGTTGATTATCGTCGTTTATTACCATTTCAATTTATTTATAAATCACTTGTATTCATTAATTTTCTAGTCTTTCTTCATGGTGGTAAATATATTAATCTATTCGAACGATTAACTAGTTTAAAAACAGTTCATAATCATCCTCCATCACTTCGTATACTTGATTATTCATATATGAAACGTGAATTAATTTGGCATACACTTAATGAAACATTAGGTACATTAATACCATTTATAACTTCATTAAAAGCACGTACATTAATGAGAAACTATTTATCGGGAACAATAATGAAACGACTTGAACAAACAAATATATGTTCTGTATGTGAACAATCGATTGTAATGCCTCATGAATCAATTGGAGATTGTAAACATTATTTTTGTTATGTGTGTGCTTATAGTTTGATACAACAATCATGTCCAATTTGTTTTAAAACGATTAATAATATTAAACCAAAAGAATTTTTCTCCAAATAAAATCTAGAATGAAGACGTATTTTTTTTTGTAATTGTAATATACAATCGATTGTCAAATATTGATTTACAATATACTTCAAATATAAATACAAAAGTTTTTTTCTATTAAAATATTCGGTTTATTGCAGAAGCAATATGAAACCGAGTTTAATTCGATTCAAGTGTATTTTAAAAAATTTGATTCGTGTTCAATCTCTGATCGATTGAGTATCACGTTGCTTTCATGTAAGTATCAAAATAAATATACAAGCAATCAACAATCGAAAAATAAAACTTGTTTACAATCAAACACTATTTCTTGAAGTGTATGGAACTTTTGTAGATACATTTTTTTGGCATTTACACGAAAGTTCGTATTTTTAGATACGTAATATGCTCGAAAAAGATATTCACAAAAGATATTTGAATAATCGAAAAGCTTCTGACAATATTCGTATTTACAATGATTAAATATACAATAATGAATAGCATATATTTCCAAATATACCTCTATTTGCTATTATTTAAAGTATATATGATAAAAATCTATCCTAATACTTAAATAAGAAGTTCAATTCTTTCTATTAGATTTATCCCATTTTTATCTTCAGTTACATTCTCCTCTCAAAAATCGATCTTTGGTCAGATACATCCAAATCGCATCAAATTTTCATGATGTGTTGAGCCTGTAGTGGAGAGGCTATGATAAAATATTCAGCCGTATACCATGTTGTTTCTAAAAGACATTCAACTAACACAGAGTTAAAAATAGCTCATTTAGCAATCTAAAATTCTCTGTAGATCTTCATTCTATAGACTTAACTTTTTTGTTTGTTTGAGAGAGCATTTCAAGATGCACAGCATGACAGAATTCTTTTTTTTTTCCTCAAAACTCTTTCTTTTTAAGAAGAGAACCCTAATAAAAGGTCGAATATATCTCGAAGAATTCTCAAGAAAAGTTGCTTTGATTTGATAAGTATTCTTTTATATAATAGTAACAATGTTTAATTCACAAACGAAACTCTAACATGCCCTGTATCTTGACATGATATTTCAGATTAAAAGTAAAGCCATTGATTGCAATGAAGCTTCTTCGAGAATTCTAAAATGCGCGATCAAAAAAAAAATGAACAGACAAAATACAAAGAAGGTCTTCCGTGTTTTTTGCTGAAAGACACATTGTTTAAGCAGAAAATGATGAGGATATTTGGAAAAAAAACAAAGCGCAAAATTAAGAATTAGTCATTCATGAAAGATCACATCTCACCATATCTTCTCATGCCTTTATCTCAATTTTCACGTTTTTGACAGCAAATTGACTTGTTTCAAGGAGCGAGGAAATTTTATAATACATATATATATGAAATAGCTCAGCAACTCAACCATCATCGCTTCCACTAATGTCAATTGCAGCAATTATTACAAATTAGAGTTAATAAAACCGTTTTGATTCATAATTCGTTTTGCAAGGTGCACCTCTAAGTAGCTTATAGATTTTATGGACTAGATTGAAAAATGCGCTTAGGATCAATGAGCTCAGGCTTGACGGAGAATATTCTATTCATGTAATAGTATGCTTTTTATGGACATCCGCATATGAAAATAATGGTTATTCATTGTTACTACGATTTTTTTTGTAAAATTCACATAGGGTGATACCTGAAAGACGTTTTCTATATGAACATATGTGCTTTCCTTTCATTTTTCTAAGCACTTTTACCGCATAGATATATGATTGATGTAAAAGAAAAGCCAATACGAATCAGTTGCAAAGGAAATTTTACGATTCATTTCTTGAGTTAAAAAGAACAGAAGAAAATATCTAGAAAGTTTATTGAATAAGTGACTGTTGAGGTAGAGCTATCTTTCAATGAATTTGTTTTGCAAATATAATTTATCTCAATCGGTCAGAATAGCGGTTTAATAAAAAGCTCATATGACTTTGAAACTATAAGAATGATTGGAATATATTGTACAAGTATTCATTTTAATCACAATTATTTATTTAGTGAAAAAATGTTTTTTTGGTATAGTTAGATTTATCGATGGATTTCGTGATGCATAAATATACTTGATCATTGATGATTTGCTGAACGAATGTAGGTTCAAGAAAGATTCAATCAAATTTCAATTACTTGAAAAAAAGAAGTACATAAAACCCAAAGTATATTTTATAAATGATAACTTCAATTTTTATTGTTGGATATTTTGTTCATCATATGCAGGTATACATTCGAAAGAAGATTTTATTATTCCATTATCATCATTGAACAACTATTTTAAAGAAAATCAGGATTTAATAATTATAAAGTAGTACGATGAAAAGAAGCTTGCATATATTAGAATCATTGTATGAAAGAAAATCTGTTATTCGGCAACAAAAGTATCAACAAATACTAATATTACAGTAGAGCATTCATGAATTAATTAATAATAATGTCAAAATTACATGTTTATAATATGCAAATCAGATGTAACATAATACTAAAGTCTTTCTGTTGTTCATCATCGTTCAAAATAGATAAAACAAAATAACTCTTTCTAATTAATTCTAGATTTTACTTATTTTCTAGCTTTATCATGATAGTTATTCATATACTGTATATTTACATCAATGTATATTCA